CATTAGCCACAACACCTGGCTATCCTTTAAATCAGGGGTCCTCAAACTTTTTAAACAGGGGGCCAGTTCACTGTCCCTCAGACCGTTGGTGAGCCGGACTGTAGGCCCCGGGACGAGTCGGCTGCTAAGCAGGACAGGCAGTGGCGGCAAAAACACCTGGTGGGCTGGATAAATGTCCTAGGTGGGCTGCATGTGGCCCATGGGCTGTAGTTTGAGGACACCTGCTTTAAATTATTTCTAATATGTATCTGGTTTCGTTTTCCGTGTTTAAGTCTTTGATTCATCTAGAGTATATTTTTATGTTCAAGGTATAGAACCAACTTTGTTTTTTCCCAGATGTTCTAATAACGTTTGTGAATAATCTTCTCTTTTCAGTAAATATTTGAAATTCCACAATCAACATATACTGCTTTCATATGTATATTTGGCTTCTTCTCTTGTCTTTATTTTATTTTATTTTATTTTTTGTAGAGAAAGAGTCTCACTTTGTCACTCTTGGTAGAGTGCCGTGGCATCACACAGCTCACAGCAACCTCCAACTTCTGGGCCCAGGCAATTCTGCCTCAGCCTCCTGAGTAGCTGGGACCACAGGTGCCCACCACAATGCCCAGCTATTTTTTTTGTTGCAATTTGGCCAAGGCTGGGCTCAAACCTGCCACTCTGGGCATATGGGGCTGGCGCCCTACCCACTGAGCCACAGGCGCCGCCCCTTCTCTTGTCTTTTAGACTATTAAAAAAAGTCTTTAGAGTACTTGAAAACTTGATAAAATTGTAATACTTCCCTTGAAAAAAAGTGTGTACATTTTTTTTTTTCTGGTTATAGAAGGTACGCAGAACCTGTGAACTAATTCATAGATCCAAGGTCAAATCTCTCTCCCTATTTTTCAATTACTTCAAATTATTTATTTCTAGCCTCAGATTATCCCATCTATTTCTAATTTTTGTATTCTGTTCCTTTATAAAGCTATGTACACTCATTTTAAATACTAATTAGTTTGGGTTGTTTTTATTTTTTTTTGCGACACTTTTTTGAGTGGGGTGGACGACAGAGTCTCACTCAATTTCCTTGGAGGTGAGTGCCATGGTGTCATAGTTTACAGAAACCTCAAACTCATTGGGCTCACATGATTTTCTTACCTTAGCCTCACAGGACTTACAGACGCCTGCTATAACACCTGGCTGTTTTTTAGAGACAGGGTCTGGCTCTTGCTGAGGCTGGTCTCAAACTCTTGATCTTAAGCAGTCCGCCCGTCTCAGCCTCCCAGAGTGGTGGGATTACATGCGTGAGTCATTGTGCTCGGCTTGAGACACAGTTTCACTCTGTTTCCCAGGCTAGAGTATTGTGGCCTCAGCCTAGCTCACAGCAACCTCAAATTCCCAGGCTCAAGTGATCCTCCTGGGGTGGTGCCTGTGGCTCAGTGAGTAGGGCGCTGGCCCCATATACCAAGGGTGGCGGGTTCAAACCCGGCCCTGGCCAAACTGCAACAAAAAGTAGCCAGGCATTGTGGCAGGTGCCTGTGGTCCCAGCTACTCTGAAGGCTGAAGCAGGAGAATCGTCTAAGCCCAACAGCTGGTGGTTGCTGTGAGCTGTGACGCCATGGCACTCTACTGAGGGTAACAAAGTAAGACTGTCTCCAAAAAAAAAAAAAAAAAATGATCCTCCTGCCTCAGCCTCCTGAGTATCTGGGACTATAGGTACCTGCCACAATGCTCCCCTAAGTTGTTTTTCTAATTTTTGGTGGGCTCTTGCTTTTTGCTTAGGCTGTTCTTGAACCCCTGAGCTTAAGCAGTCCTTTTTCCTTGGCCTCCTAAGAATGTGGAATACTAGGATTACAGGCATGAGCCAGTTCCCAGTCTTGCTGTTTATTTTGAAAGGGGTCACCTCTGTCCTTAGAAAATTAGGAACACTTCAGGGAATAATGGGTATTTGGTTAATCGTTTATTTAAGGCTTACTGTTTTTTAGATAAGCAAAATGAGGGTTGGAGGCTTATGTTACCATATTTTCACACATCTATTGCCTTTGCTGTGGTTCATCCCATATTTATCATATTCCAAGTTCTATGTACTCAGTCTTCTGCATTATGATGAACTGCCTCTCTTACACAATACCTCATATACAAAAGATTGAATAGTAGGCTATTGATTCTAAAAGCTAAAAGACATAAGTGTATAGTTGCAGATAGTACTGAATTTTAATTCTTGTACTTGAGCTTTCTACATATCTAGCTTTCATCCTATAGCTTGAGTAAGAATAGTAGGCACTAGAATATGGCTTTGGGTACCTTTCTTGAAGCTGTAGTACAGTGGCATAAGGAAGTATTGATGAATATACAAGTTAAGATTTTAGTAAGAAGAGTCTTACTAAAAGATTGTTAAAAATATGTTTTGTATTGTGGCACATTTGTAATAGCTATAATAATTTGTATTTGTGTGATTAGTAACCTGTAAACCTGCAGAATATCGGTGAGTATATATTATCTTTTGTCTGTTCAACCTGCCCTTGAGATAGATTTTATCTAATTTTTTACAGATGAGAATGTGTCTGAATTTTTGTTTGTTTGTTTTTGAGATAGTCTCATTTTGTTACCCTTGGTAGAGTGCCTTGGCATCATAGCTCACAGCAACCTGAAATGCTGAGGCTCAAGTAATCCTCCTGCCTCAGTTTTTTTTTTTTTTTTTTTGTAGAGACAGAGTCTCACTTTATCGCCCTTGGTAGAGTGCTTTGGCATCACAGCTCACAGCAACTTCCAGCTACTGGGCTTAGGTGATTCTCTTGCTTCAACCTCTTGAGTAGCTGGGACTACAGGTGCCCACCACAACGCCTGGCTATTTTTTTGTTGCAGTTTGGCTGGCACCAGGTTTGAAACCACCACCCTCAGTATATGGGGCTGGTGTCCTACCCGCTAGGCCACAGGCACTGCCCAGTTTTTTTTTTGTTTGTTTGTTTGTTTTTTTAGTAGAAACCGGATCTCTTGCTTAGGCTGGTCTTGAACTCATGAGCTCAAGTGATCCACCTGCCTCAGCCTCCCAGAGTGCTAGGATTATAGGCATGAGCCACTATGCTTAGTCTTTTTTTTTTCCTGTTTTTTTTTTTTTTTAAACTCAGACCTTTTCTGGTGTGAACTTTTTTTGTTTTTTGAGACAAAGTTTCAGTCTGTCACCCTGACTAGAGCTCCACAGTGTTATAACTCACAGTAATCTCAAGTTCTTGGGCTGAAGCTATCCTTTTGCCTCAGTTTGTCTTTTTTATTTTATTTATTATTTATTCATTTTTGAGACGGAGTCTTTCTTTTTCACCCTCTGTAGAGTGCTATGACATCATAGCTCAGCAACTTCCATCTTTGGGGCTCAAGTGATTCTCTTTGATTCAGCCTCCCAAGTAGCTGGGACTACAGGTGCCTGCCACAACGCCTGGCTATTTTTTAGAGACAGGGCTTTGATCTGGCTCAGGCTGATCTGGAACCTGTGTACTCAGGCTATCCACCTGTACTGGGATTATATGTGTGAGCCATGGCACTCAGCAGTTTGTCTTTTTTAGAAGCCTCCCAGAGTGCTAGGATTACAGGTGTGAGCCACCTGCTGGCTAAAATGCCTTTTAGTTTTTTTCCTAAAGAGACAGAGTCTTACTCTCATCCATGTTGGAACCCAAGCTGGAGCCCAAGCTGGAGTGCAGTGGTGCAATTCTTGGG